TTGGAGGAAAATCAGAAAAGATAACCATGAGAGAAAAAAAAATTAAATGGGAGAGAGAATTGACAATTTGAAAAGATAAATATGAGAGAGAATGATTTTTTATTTTTTTTAAAAAAGGATATATAGAATTAATTGAGAAAGAGATAAAATAGGAAGAAAATTGGGACATATAAATTTTTTCAAAATAATGACATTTTTGACATTATTACTAATATTTATAAAGTATGGATATTTTTACTAAATATGTTATTTATTTTGACTAGTTTACTAATTTTTCCTAGGCCGGGACTTCCATTTTGCCTAAAGACCCTTATGACAGAGCTTTAGCGCATTTTTGGGCTAAGTTCCTCGATGATAAGATAAATTTTCATCTTCATGCTATATATATATATACCTATTTGCATAATTATATTATATACAGTTTAGAATACGCCTCGATCATAATTTTGTATATAGTAACATTGTTAATGAGAAAATGTATATTATTGTATATAGTAACATTGTTAATTTAATGAGAAAAAATCTTTTTGGCCAGAAAGTTTGGTTAGAATTTGGCCAGAATAAGATTTTTTCTATGTAATTTTACTTTTTAAAAATATTTTTACCCTTTTAACTTTAATATCTTTTACTAAAACATGAAAAAAAGATCAATTTATTTTAAAATAAAAAAGATATTATAGTTTTTAAAATTTTCTGGCCAAATTATCTGGCACTTCTCTTTTTTCTATATAGTAACATTGTTAATGAGAAAATTCATATTCTAATTTGCTTGAGATTGAGACGTAGTATATTGTTGAGTGTGTACTTTGTAGGTGGTAGCGGTGGTAAATGCATTCTTAGGCAAAGGAAAGGAGCAAGAGAAAGGTAAAGAGGAAGTTTGTGAGATGTTGAAGGTTCTTGATAATGATTTCAAAGACAAGAAGTTGTTTGTTGGTGACAAATTTGGGTTTGTTGATATTGTTGCAAATTTGGTGGAACTTTGGATGGGAGTTTTCCAAGAAGCAACTGGAGTTGTATTAGCAACAAATGAAAATTTTCCAAATTTTTGTGCTAGGAGAGATACGTATATGAATTGCAGTCAAGTGAAGGAATATCTACCTTCGAGAATTGATGAGTTGCTTGTTTTTTACCAAGCTTATATACGCCACTCAAGCTACAACTTCTGCTTCTCCTAAAAAATAAACTCATAATCATATAAGTTTCGGATTATGTATCAAAATAAAATTATGAATCCTGTAGATGCAATTATGTATAAGTTTCTCGTTCTAAAATAATGACTGTATTATCTTCCTGATAAAATTATTTGTTAGACAAAATTAGCTTAGCCAAATAGTAGCGTACCATAAGTGTGTTGAGCAGGCGGCGGACCCACAGTAGGATACACGTGCATCCATTAATTTCAAAAAATATTATATATATATATATAGAGAAACGGATAGAAAATGGAATATAATTAAAAGTGCACCCTAAATTAATATTGCAGTGTCCTTGGTCTCTTGGTAGAAGTTAGGAAATACCTCCTTCCAGGCACAGATTCAATCTTGGTCAACAATTCTTCTTTTAAAGTCTTTTTATTACAAAGTCAAGTGTCCATTAAGCATTCAAAATTTTGCTTCGCTTATGCTTAAATATTATTGATGTATCATACTTTTCAAATTCTGGATTTGCCTATGGTGTTGTGTTACTGTATTAGTTTATTGATTGGTTTGTGATTGTATAATAATCAATCAAATCAAATCACTAGTTAAATATTTTTTCTCGATTTACGATTTAGGGTGATTTTAAATTTTAATTAGTTGAGGCCTAGTTAAAAAATAATAGCTTTGTGACTTAAATTTTTGCAGTTGACTGAAACTTAGTAATCGTTTGGAGTGGCGACTTATCTTGTACCACAAAACATATACTCCAATTACACTATAACTGTACAAGTCAAATGTGAACAATTTTAATTTGTTAGCTAAGTGCTTACGTAGGTTATCAATGCCTTTGAACAATTTTTATAAGCATTTCTCTTTCCCAAGTCTTGTACAATATTTTAACCTTCAACCACTCCCTCAAATTTTCCTTCTATAAAAGAAGATCATGATACAAGACACAAACCACCACTAAAATTTCCTTTTAACATAGTAGTAAATTAGCAAACAATTAGAACCAAAGTTGTGATATGGCACAAGTGAAGTTGCTAGGTTTTTGGTATAGCCCATTTACTCACAGGGTTGAGTGGGCTCTAAAGATTAAGGGAGTCAAATATGAATATATAGAAGAAGATCGATATAACAAGAGCCCTTTACTTCTTGAATCGAACCCTATTTACAAGAAAGTCCCAGTGCTCATTCACAATGGCAAGCCCATTTGTGATTCTATAGTCATTCTTGAGTACATAGACGAGATATTTGAAGGCCCTTCCATCTTGCCTAAAGACCCTCATGAGAGAGCTTTAGCTCGTTTTTGGGCTAAGTTCCTTGATGACAAGGTAAATTCATGTTCATTCAATATATTCTTATTTGCATATAAAAGTAGTCGGTTCTGACTTATTTAAGATTGAGGTGTTGTAACATTATACTTTGTAGGTGGGAGCGGTGGTAAATACATTTTTACGCAAAGGAGAGGAGCAAGAGAAAGGTAAAAAGGAAGTTTGTGAGATGTTGAAAGTTCTTGATAATGAGCTCAAGGACAAGAAGTTGTTTGTTGGTGACAAACTTGGTTTTGCTGATATGGTTGCAAATTTGGTGGGACTTTGGATGAGCGTTTTCGAAGAAGCATCTGAAGTTGTATTAGCAACAAATGAAAATTTTCCAAATTTTTGTGCTTGGAGAAATACGTATATTAGTTGCAATCAAGTCAAAGAATATCTACCCTTAAGAATTGATGAGCTACTTGCTTTTTATCAAGATCGTGTTCGCGCTCTGGCTACAACTTTAGCTACTCCTCAAAAATAAATGAATACTCTTATATGTGTTGGATTGTATTGGAATAAGATTGTGATTCTAGGAAGACTCTCGTAGATTCAATTATGTATAAGTGTGCAAATAAAGAAAAGAAATTAAAATGTGTGTTTGTATAAGACTGTGCAAATAAAGAAAAGAAATTGAAATGTGTGTTTGTATAAGATTAAGAAACTACCTAATAAAATTATTTGTTAGAAAAAGCTAGCTTAGCCAACTAGTAACACACCAAGAAGTGATAAACATGGAATACGTGCACTGGTCAAAGTGTTTCACTCTTAATTAAAGGTCTCGAATTTGAGTATTGAGTATGGAGAAAATTCAGTTGGAAGCGCTACCACAGATAGGCCCTGCAATGTGCAATCCAAATTTAGTCAGAACTCCAATGTGAACTCAAAACACTAGATGTAGATAATAAAATAAGGCTAAATAATAAAATTTTATTAAATTATTTAACTATATTAAATTTGAACAATTTGAAATATAAACATGGGTGTACATAATACAATAAGTCACAACTCACAAGACTTATGATACGTGCCAATTGGAAAATTCAATGAACCCTTCAAATTTTTGACTAAAAATAAAGTAGAAAAAGAATCAATTCTTTTAATATGTATCAATTCTTTTAATATGTTGCCTACCCACACTTTATAAACGGAAGACATTAATCAACAAACATTTAAATAGATAATGATAATCACGAAAATTCGATGAAGCCTTCAAGTTTTTGGCTAAAAAAAAAAGGGTAAAAGGAGAATCAATTCTTTTAATATTTTGACTACCCACATTTTATAAACAAATGACATTAATCAGCAAACATTTAAATAGATAATGATTATCCTGGCTTCACCGGTTTGAGTTTTCGATCATTTTTTATTTTTTCAAAATAATATTTCAAATTACTTCAGTATGTTAAAAAATAATATATATTTTTTATTTATTTAAAATGAGCGACGATAATTTGATTTCAGAACCTTTAATTGTTTCAATATTATGATGAAACGTATAATCATCTTATCTAGCCACTAAGAAAAAATATTTTTTATTATTTAATTATAATCTCGATAATAACGCTACTTTTTGTTTGTTAAAAGTAAAATATTACAAGAATTTCTTTTTAAAAAATAAATAAGAACCTTTCAACCACTCCCTCAATTTTTCCTTCTATAAAAAATGAAAGAAGATTATAATTCAACACATAACTATAACTATGTACCTTCAAGAATCGATGAGTTGCTTGCGTTTTACCAAGCTTAAGCACGACTTCTGCTACTCCTTAAAAATAAACCCCATACTCATATAAGTTTTGAATTATGTATCAAAATAAAATTGTGAATCGAGAACAAATCTTAATAAGTGTGTAGTTCTAAAATAATGACTCTAGATTTTGTGTTTTTCTTCCTAATAAAATTATTTGTTAGACGCTAAGCTAACACAGCCAACTAGTAACACACCAGTCACCACGAAGTGTATTGTTTTACTGTTCTAATGTATTGATTAGTTAGTGATTCTACATGTATAATTAATCAAATCATGAATATCCTCATTGAATCGGAAAAGAAAAAGGGAAAAAAAGAAAAGTATGGCACATTGTTTGATGAAATAGTGAGTGGCATAAGTCAAGAAATATTTAACCTATCAAATCATGACTTATAATATAATATGTGTAAGCCACTACGAAAATATATATAATTCATATGTAGTTCAAGTAAATGTCCAAAAAAAAAATCATTCTTTTCTTGTTTGACTCTATAGATACGAACATCATTTAATTTCTACAAATTCTCAAAAAGGCAAGACTATATATATATAAAAAACGAAAAAGGATCAAAAATATCCTTAAACTATCAGAAATAGCTTATATATACCCTTGAAGTATATTTCGGCTTAAATATATCTTACCGCTAAACTAGGGTCAAAAATACCCTTCTCATTAACAGAATAGATTAAATGCCATGTGGATGTCACATGGCATGCCACATAAGCCAATATAGTTTCATTTATGTCACGTAGACTAATAAACTTACCCCTAATTTCTCTCAATTTTCTCCATTTTTCGTAGAATTTAGAAACGATTTCACTAAAGAACATAGAACCCCTTTTCCTCATTTCTCCATTTCCTTAGAACGATTTCACAAAATAAATAAGTTCTAAGGGAAAGGGGTTCTATGTTCTTCAATAAAATCGTTTCTAAATTCTCAGGGAAATAGAAAAAATTGGGGGAAATTAGGGATAAGTTTATTTTCTACATGGCATGAGTGGAACTTTATTGAATTATGTGGCATGCCATGTGGTATCCACATGACATTTAAGTGGCATTTAACAGATCCTGTTAATGAGAAGGGTATTTTTAATCCTATAGTTTGAAGGAAAGGGTATATTTGAGCCGAAATATAGTTCAAGAGTATATTTGAGCTATTTCGAATAGTTCAAGGATATTTTTGACCCTTTTCCGCATATAAAATAAAAATAGATTCTAAGTCGTATACATAGGAATCTTAAAATTCTATGACTTTTATGTTACACAACAAAGACCTCAATTCAAGATAACTATACTCCTTGAGCGGTTCTAAAAATTGTTCTGAATATTACCTAATGATCATACGTAATAGGAGCTTAGTGCTTTAAGATGTTTTGATAATTTCCTCACAAGTCCAGGGACCTGATCCTTTGCAGAGTATGAAACTAGTCCTAACTGTCAAAAGTGTTGGACAGTTATAAATGTTGTTTGCGTCAGGAAGGTTGGTGAACCGCATAGTACTACACCAATCAGAAATGACTAGGTTGTTTGTTTGATAATAATAATCTTTCATGGTATATATATCAAACAAAGACAACAACATTACTCATTCATTCAAAAAGGGAAAATTTTTCAAGCTTCAACAACAACAAGAGAACTAGTTAAAGTGTATTTAGTGCTTTTTGTGTTTGTTGTATTTTGTTTGCTTGTAATTATTCTTATATTGTAGGATTCATTTCAGTTGTAGTAGAAACGTTTCAACCTTGGGTTAATCATTGTAAGGGCTTGGGTTACGGATAACTTAGACTTTTACTTCAAGTCTATATTAATCAAGTAGGATTAGTATAGAGAATAGTGTTGTATCTGCTCATTCTCAACTAAGTGATAGGGTGTATTACTTAGTGTGTAGATTAGCAGGTTAATCTTTTATTTTGTAACCGACTTTTACTTTTACTTGTTGAAGAATAGTGAAAGTGGTTTTGGAAATTCCTGTTGAGAACATGTCGTGGTTTTCCTCCCTTGAGCAAGGAGATTTTCACGTAAGTGATTGTCATCTTTACTTTTCTGCAAATTGTTCTTTACTGACTGCGGGTTAATCTATTGAGGACCTGGTCCCATCTAAGTAAGTGAACGCAGACATTCCAACAATACGTAAGCATAATGAGGTAGCTCACCACTACGCCAAGTGTGGATAATTTACCTAATTTGTTCACATTTTGCAACAAGGATGGTTAGATTGAAATTTTATGTAGTTCGGGAGCTCCAATTAAGTGTGTTATTGCAAAAACTATATGCGTTTTTAAGTTTCAATTTTAATTTTAACATTCGTCCAAAATTAGCTCAATTTTTCATTTTTACTAGTAGAGGGTGTACATGACCAAGTCAGTTCGGGTTTTTTAAATATCAAATCAAACTATTCGTGAAAAATTTTATAAATCAAACTAATAAAATTTGGATTTTTTTGGGTTTTTCAATCTCGGGTTGGTTCGGTTTTTTCAAATACCAAATCAAACATTGTGTCGAATTTTTAAATTTATAAATCAAACCAAACTAATAAACCTCAAATTTTTTTAGATTTTTAAATTTTTTTCAGTAAAATTTGAATACAAACATAATTAACTTGTGGTCCAGATATTTCTTTACTCCAATCAACATACAATTATCTAAGATATTTCTTAAAAAAATATTAACACAAAATATGAGATGAGTATACTAATGACACAATAATATTCAATAAAAAATAATAATGAAATCATCATATAAAATAAATGATATTGTAAAGTCATAATGAAAATTATCAATTTTAAAAGTACTAGATCATGCCAAAATAAGATTAGTAAGTATTAGTTACATTACTAAATATTTAAGAAAAATTAAAATTAGATTATGTATTTTAATTGTCTAAACCAATGTAAAATTAAAAAACAAATATTCAATATAATTGTCATTCTTAGTGTTTGATTGATTTTCTTTTGCATTAGCATTAATTTGATTTTGATTTAAGTCATATCATAGTTATCAACATCTATAACTATAATCTTTATTAGACCATTCCGAATTATAAGTTTTAAACTTGAAATAATACATTAAAAGATAAAAATATGAAATAGTATAAGAAATATTTTAAAATTATATCAAAATAAATATTACTATATAAAAAGAAATTAAATTACATATATAATTGAGTTTTTTTTTTTAATATCAAACCAAATCAAATCAAATCACAAGTCAATTTTTTTTTAATTTAACTCAATTTACGATTTAATTTATTTTTTGATTCGATTTGATACACCCTATTTTGCAGGATGCATTTACAACATTCAATTTTTGGTTAAAGCTGAAGTAAAAAGATAGGAAAAATCAATTTTTTAAATATTTTGATTACCACATTTTATAAAACAAAATACATTATCCTGGCATAGTTTTGACTTTTCAATCATTTATATTCTAAACAAGTTTCAAATTAATTTAATATCTTAACAATACTTAGACTATAATTCAGTAATCGTTTGCAGTGACGACATATCTTGAACAACAAGATATATACTCCTATTACAATATTTACAAGTCAAAAGTACTTAGTTTAAACACATGAAATTTCTTTTGATCTTATTATATATTCTCTCTATTCAACAATACTTATTCACTTTAAAAAAATTGTTCACTTTAAAAAAATTATAAGTAGATGGATAATTTTACTATATCATCTTTTAAATATAATAAATACAATATCTTACAAAATATAATAAGGAAATGATTGTAATCAATAATAAGGATAAATCAAAAACTAAATATGAAATTATCCAATTTAATTTATAAAGTAGATAATATTGTTGGACAATCACAGAGAATGTTATAGTTTGTCTTGACACGGAGTTTAAGAAAATAAAGAAGATTTTTTATCACGTGATCCTAAATTAAAGTTATATTAATTGTATAAAATTGTCCTTTAATCTTGTGATTTAAACATGTCACATGAAAAGTTATTACCATAAAAAAAGTTATTTTTTTTCCAAACACACTAAAAAGAAAAGGATATATATATGGAGAGAGAGTATTATTTATTTGTTAACTAAGTGCTTACGAAAGTTGTTCCATGCATTTGAACTAATTTAATGTAACCATTTCTCTTTCCAAAGTCTTGCACAAGTTTTGATTCGAGGTAAGAGAAAATATAATATTATAAGAAGAATTAAGAATAAGAAAAAAAAAAGAGGAAAAATTAGGAACCTTCAACCATTCCCTTAATTTTTCCTTCTATAAAAGAAAACCATAATTCAATAGAGAATCATCCCTAAAAATATCCTTTAACATAGTAGTAAATCAGCAAACAATTATAATCAAAGTTGTGATATGGAACAAGTGAAGTTGCTAGGTTTTTGGTATAGCCCATTTACTAATAGGGTTGAGTGGCTCTAAAGCTTAAAGGAGTCAAATATGAATATATAGAAGAAGATCGATATAACAAGAGCTCTTTACTTCTTGAATCGAATCCTATTTACAAGAAAGTCCCAGTGCTCATTCACAATGACAAGCCCATTTGTGATTCTATGGTCATTCTTGAGTACATTGACGAGACATTTGAAGGCCCTTCCATCTTGCCTAAAGACCCTTATGATCGTGCTTTAGCTCGTTTCTGGGCTAAGTTCCTTGATGACAAGGTAAATTCATTTTCATTCAATATATTCCTATTTGAATAATTTAGTCATATTAGTACATTTACTTTAGATCTTATTGTATAGAAAATATAGAGATTTTAAAACACTTTTGATAATTTTGTATTATGTGGATTAATGAGAATTTATATAATTAATAGTCGACTCTGACTTACTTGAGATTGAGACGTAATATCATTGTACTTTGTGTAGGTGGTTACGGTGGTAAATGCATTCTTAGGCAAAGGAGAGGAGAATGAGAAAGCTAAAGAGGAAGTTTATGAGATGTTGAAAATTCTTGATAATGAACTCAAAAACAAGAAGTTTTTTGTGGGTGACAAATTTGGAATTGCTGATATTGTTGCAAATTTGGTTGGACTTTGGCTTGGAGTTTTCCAAGAAGGCTCTGGAGTCGAATTAGTAACAAGCGAAAAATTTCCAAATTTCTGTAGTTGGAGAGATGAGTACGTTAATTGCAGTCAAGTCAAGGAGTATCTGCCTCGAAGAGATGATTTGCTTGCTTTTTTCCAAGCTTTCACTCGTGCTCAAGCTGCAGCTTCTGCTTCTACTCAAAAATAAAACATATTTGTACTTTATTAATGTTGTTCCAAATTATGTGTCTTGAATAAAATTGTGAATCTTCATTGATTTCAATTATGTATTGGTATGCAAAAGAAAAAAAATAAAATATTGCCCCCACTTACTTTACTTCTCACCGGTATGGATCTTTATTTATTGCTCCTATTAAAAAAAAAATTGCCACTGGGCATACTGTTTAGCGGCACGCGAAAAAATGAAAAAATTACACAACTATTGTAAAATGGCTCTTAAATGCCTAAATCTATAGTGGATCATAGTGAGGCTATACCTACTTCTCCCACAATTCATTATGGTGCATTTTATTTTTTTAAAAAAAATTGATTATAAGTCGTTTCATCAATTATTTATGGACTAATTCATACAGAAAATTAAAAAAATCGTCTAATTCTTTTAAAATGGCTTCTAAATATGTAAAAATTTCATGGATAGTGAGGCTATGCATACTGCTCACCCAACTCATTACGGAAATGTTTTTCAAAAATATTGATCATATGTCATTTTACTAAATATTCATAAACTAACCCACACGAAAATTTAAAAAAAAATCGTTAAATTTGAAGATGGTGTTATGTTTGATTTAAAGTGCCTAAGATAAGTTTTTTAATTAATTAATAAATAGAAACAGAAAACTCGAATAGAGGGTTAGATCTTATCTTACTAATTTTAATGAGGTAACAAATCTTTACTAAGTAACAAGCATGAAAAAAAGATATTCTATAATTATCACAAAATTCAAAATATAGTACCTAAATATAACGATATCACCAATAAAAATGTTTATGGAATGAATACAAGTATGTAAAACTGGAAATGTACCTAATTAATACAACTTTAAAAATGAAAAATGAGTTAAAAAATGCAACTTGTGTTTGTGTACTACAATATATGTGGAAGTCAAAAGTCATATAGTACTTCTTTTTGGTTTATGTAAGGAAGTTTCTAAAGTAGGCATCACGCATAGGACAATCAACAAATATGATATATAGCTATAAAATTATTAGTTATGATATTAAATTCGTTATTAATTATTTGTTTTTAGTGATAAAATTTATTTTTCGTGCTTAAATATATGAGACACATATTTTTAGTGATGAAATATAAAAATTCGTAATTTTTGTCCATATAAATTTCCAATCAAAAAATTATTTGGCGACATTTTGTTAAGTGGTGTTAGTCACGAATTTAAAGTTATTGGTGACGTATTGTTTCGTCACTAGTAGTGTATGTAATTCATGACAAACTACGACATCAAGTTTGTCACTAATTATTCTCTTTTAGTGACAAAATTTACTTTTCGTGCATAAATATATGAGACACATACTTTTACTGACGAAATATAAGAATCCGTAGCAATGTTTTGTCCACTAAAGTTTCCTACAAAAAAAATCAATTGGCATCATTTGTTAAGTAGTATTAGTCACGAATTTAAGGTTATCAGTTGACACATTATTTCGTCATTAATAATGTATCTAATTTATGACAAAATATTTTTTGTCTATAATTTATTAAATTTTGAACACAAAAAGATTTCATCTATAAAAATATGTTGTTACAAACTTACAATAACCACAAATTAGAGTTCGTAGTTAAATATTATAAATTTTAGCTATGAAAATTTATATTTTATTATGATATTTATTTCGTCACTAATAATATAAATAATAGGTGACAAATATTTTATTGTCTCTAATCAATATATGATTTAGTGACAACAAAAAAATTGTCACAAAATATGTAAGGTGTTAAATATCGAAGACTTAAATTTTTTAGTGAATAATTAAATTATTTGCTACGAAAAAAATGTATAGCTAAATACAATATTTTTTGCTACAATTGTTCATAATTACAAATGACAACTTATAAAATGAATAATACAAGTGCTTCATAAGAAGCAGACATAGTCCATTCGTTAACTGACAAGTGAAAATATTAAAATCAATGAATTTGGTCGATTTTGTAAAAACGAAAAAGTTCAAACTCATCTGTTTTCTTAAATTACACAATTATAAAATGCATCATTTGCAAATACAATCCGGGTTATAAATATTGTGAGTAGGCACGGTTCTACTTATAGATCACTGATATTTGTTAGTCTAACACTTTAGTTTTTTATTTGACACACTTTTATTGATAAGCACGATAAAAAAATAATTTGTCAAGTCTTTGTGCGAATTTTTTTGCATGTCTATTGATTTATTATTAGTAAACTACATAGATTAAGTCGATCTATATGCTTTTGTCTATAAATATGTACATGTTTAATAGTAATTGCACACTCGTATGTAGAGTAACTATATCGAGATAACATCAACTTACAAACTGACTCTATTAATTTTTTCCATCAGTATGAAAATTGAAATAAACTAAAAAATGAAAGCACATATAAAAGAAATGAAATAGTGAGGATTTCAAATATATTATGATGAAGTACTATAGTTATTGGTATCGATGTTCAACTTGAACTGATTATTCATTTTTTTTAAATAAAATCAAAAGTAGATTTTAAATAAATTTATTATCGTACTAAATAATATTTAAAATTTACAAAAATAAATAAATAAAATGAGAAAATTGTACAGAATATATTTAAAGATATTTAAAAAATATACAGTTTAATTAAAATATAATCTACATTTGAATGAATTGTGGGTGGTAAATTTCATGCATTTGCTTATAATGTAAAATTTTATCATATATACATTAAAAATAAAATGATTTTAGCTTATATCATTAGTGACGAAATTAAATTTTTTTCAGCTACAAAATATATACAACTTTAGATACAATTGATTTCGTCACTGATTGAAGTAAAATAATTAGCGATGATATAATTTTGTCGGTAGTAATAACCTTTTTAGTGACAAAACATACTATTAATTACAAAAAATATATTTTTTATAACAAGTAAATTTGTCACAAATGATTAAGCATTTGGTGACGATTTTTCTTTTTGTAGTTAATATAATACTTTTAGCGACGAAAGACTAAATCGTCTTTGTATACTTTTAGAGACACACATTTAAAAATGATTAAGTGTCAAATTATTTGTCCCTGGTAATCGAATTTGTTATAGTGATCTTTGAGTGAATGATGAGTCAAAAAGTAACGGTTAAATGCTTTCATATTTCTTTCTTTCCACTTGGGGTTGTTTATTGCAGTCCAAAAAGTTATATAAGTTCAAAACTTTAATTCATGACTTTTAGCTTATTTTTATTTGTTTTGGCTTGAAATTTATTGAGATTGATTTTTAAAAAGTAGCTTTTTAAATATATACGTTATATTTGGTTAAATTGAAATGATTTTTAAGTCGAAAAATAAAAATTAGGGCGAGTCTTATTTAGGATAGGTTTAAATTATCAACAATCTCAAAAGTTAAAAGAAACTTAAAAATAAATTTAATCAACTTTTAAATCAATCCAAACATGATATTAGGATTAGGACAATAGAGTAAAGACGAATTAGTATCCGGTGTAATTATTGAACTTGATTCATTGTAAGTAACAAAGGAAAGGGGACAAATATATGTTCGTTAACTTTACAAAAAGAATCTGACTGAATTAAGATTTGTATAGAGAAGTCTCACGCTGAGATAAGCACTTCCTATCAAAGGTGAATTCGTATTCAAGCTAAGGGAGCTTGAACCAAAAAAATTAAAAATAATATTTACTGCTCCACCGTAACAATTCATTGATATTGTTAATAATATTACGGAAACTAAAAGAGAATAAGAACTAAGTAAATACATGACTAAAGAATTTGGTAAATTGTTAGCTAAGTGGTTACGTAGATGCCATTAAATATCTTGAACAAACATGAATTAACTTAATAAGCATTTGTTTAAGAGTATTACGCAATTAACGTTTGATCCCAAGTAAAGGCAGATGAAATATATATTAAGATTTTCTTGAATTGAAAAATAGGAAATTTAGGAATTCTCAACCACTACCTCAATAGATTTTTTCATTTTATAAAAGACCATAATGCAAGACAGAACCATAGTAAATTAGAATAATAATCAAAGTTGTGACATGGCACAAGTGAAGTTGCTAGGTTTTTGGTATGGAAATTTTTTCAAAATGTCAATATTTTGATAGGATTCATTGTCAATATTTTTAATATTTAGTGAAAATGTCAAAAAAGAAATAATTATTAAAAACAGAAAGGAGAAATTAAGGGGAGAGAAAAATATTAAAAAGAAAAAATTGTTATCAGTTAAAAAAATTCAAAAATAAAGAACTAATTGACAATTTTATCAAAATACACCAACTTTCATCTCTTTCTTCTTCTTTCACCATGTTCTAAAAAACGCGCCTATCACCATTGTTCTAAAAATTCAACATTCAATTTTTTTGAAGCAGTTTATTCTACTAAGACATATTTTGACGTTATGAAATCATAATTTATCTTTAAAAATGTCTGAAATTTTATGAAGTTATTTGGCTATCATGTTAAGGTTATGAAGTTTATGTATCTCATTTTAAGAAATTTTTCAGTATTCTAAATACAATACTCATGTATTCATGATATATGTATTCATCCATCTTACATATGTATTTTATTTTGCTTATTTTCAATATTATTTTGTATACCAAATAGTTTGTATTTAGATTTAATTTTGTATTCGTCCTAATGTATACCATAAAATTTGTATTTAGATTTGACTTCGTATTCGTCCTAATGTATATCATAAAGTTTTGTATTTATATTTTGATTTCGTATTCATTCTCAACTTTATATAGGCAAAATACAATTTATTTATGTGTTCATTATATATGTAATTCATCCTAATTGCATCAGTCAAATAGTTTTTATTTTATTTTGCTCATTATATGTTTATACCAATTAGTTTATTTTTGATTTCGTATTCATTCACAATTTTTTAATAATCAAAATACAGGTTTGTATTTAGATTATCACTTTGTAAACATAAATTTGACTACAAACTACAGAACATTCAAAATACTTTCAAATACTTTTGCGAAACAACTAAATACCTAAAAAGTGCTAATGTGGATTCTACTAAATTTGAATTATAAAAACATATCATAAAAAAAGATCGACAAAAATTATTTTAAATATTAAAATTTGAAATACATAAATATTTGATG